TTTTTTTTTTTTTTTTTTTTTTTTTTTTTTTTTTTTAAAGAAAAGAAAAATTGCTGATCACGACTTCTGTTATGGTGGTTGGTTTTGGATTTCTGTTAAGGTTCAATGGACCCCTCCTCCTCCTCCTCCTCCGGATTGTCGAACATGAATGGGGCCAGAAGGCTCATGGTTGGCCCAAGTTTGAGGGTAATGCTGAAAGTGAGCTGAACACCAGTGGGGCAGAAGGCTCATAGTTGGCACAAGTTTGATGGTAATGCTGAAAGTGAGCTGAACAAGAATTAGACAGAAGTCCTTACCGGCAGAGGGGAAGGAGCCTAGAATTGACGGGCTTGGGTAGTGAAATCAAGCACGCCGCACACTTGAGGGTTAAGTACACTTCTGTGAAGGTTGGCACACGTTTGACCGGCAACAGGCAGGTGGTTGCGACTCCACACTGGACCTGTCGGTCAGTGCTGTTTCCAGCCGTGGACCTCTGCCGTGCATGCATGGATTCGAACCGGCGCCCTCAGCATCAACAGCACAACCCATTAAATTGAATACCCATGGCAAACTTGGTGGGAGTCTGGGAGTAACCCTGCACCATTGGAACCTTGAATGGATCTTCAGTCAGATTTGGCTCGAGGCAGGCTGGAACTTAGCTCAGAACAGTGGGCCTGCTTTTTTCTTCCAGTGGTGATCGATGAAGCAGACTCTGGTTTGTGGGAGTAATGCATGCCAAGGTTGGCTGCCGCACTGCACTGGGCTCGTCATTTGCGGTCCTGCAGGTTGGAAACTTGCCATCTGTACTGTGACTACTGTCACAATTTCGCTCACATTTGGTCTGATTTTTTATCTCTTCTCTTCTCTTAACTCTGAAAAGTTGAAGCGGTCCTAGCGTGATGCTCCTGCCGGGCCCAGTAGAAACTGGGGGCGGAGCTTCACATACGCTGCTCGGGACCGCTAAGGGGCGAGGCCGAGGCCGCCTGACAGTGTGAGAATGCCCCCCGCGGGCCAGGCGCACGTTAGAAAAAAAAGGTGTCACAGCGCGGAGCAGGGGGAAGAGCCACACTTTGTTTTTTTTTGGTTTTCCAGCCGTTCCACACAGCGGGCCTCCCTCCACTGCTCACCAAATGTGCAAAATGGGACTGAACCTCCACTAGAAGATGGAAAGATACATCGCCATATTGGCGGCCACCTGCATGGCGCAGTGCAGCGGGCTTTCGTGCTTGGTCAGCGGTCTTTGGTCGCCAGTGTGTGCTCGCGACAAGTACGTGGATGACATTGCCGGTAGCGTGCGTTCGCAAGCGGAGGTGATGCCCGGCTATGTGGATGACATGGTGGGGGGTCACTGTGATGGAACACATAATTTCAAAGTCGTCGTAGTTCAGGTACGAGAGCGAGGGAAAAAAAACAGAGGGGACCCCATCTCTGTGCGTGTGTACCTTGCCCGTGGCATTTGACAGACGCGCAAAAAGAAAGAAAAAAAAACGCCGGGCAGTAACAAGAGGGGAAGCAAACAATGACACATGATGGCAATGGAAATGACAACTCGCGTGGCCAAGTGCTCTCTCTCTCTGTCTGTCTGTCAGTCTGTCTGTCAGTCCGTCAGTCCGTCTGTCCGTCCGTCCGGTGGGCAGGCGGGCGGCCGGGCGGGCGGGCGGGCGGTCGTGGATGCCTCTCTCTCTCTCACACACGTACACACGAAGGCATGGAGCGGAGTTGTACATGCGGGGTGTGTTGTCAAATGGACCTCTCTCTCTCTCTCTCTCTCTCTCTCTCTCTCTCTCTCTCTCTCT